CACGCAGTCATCTGATGATATTTATAAAGAGACTTAAAGCACAACTGGAGGCATGGCAAATAATTTTTAGTCAGAAGAAGCAGGAAAAATCAGCCCGATACATCACTCTCCGATTCTCCTTGAATCTGCTTATCCTACTTCAGTTGGCCGATAAGGGCCTGGCGGTGTGACTGCAGGTGGTAACGCTTAATGTTTTATTTAAAAGCCTTGTCAGGCTTAGTTACTGTCTTAAATCTGAATCCACTTATTTGTAGCTAAAGAGTTCACTTTCACTGCCTCACTATGTGGGCATGGTGAATGCTAAGACACCTCTTTAAAAAAACCTTCTGTTTTCTTCTGAGCACGTGAAGCTAGCTTACATAATCTGTAAAGTTGTGATGAAATGAGCGGGAGATCAAATGGTGGAAAAATTAGACCCCCCCACCATATCACCACTTATCACAAAGATATCATAGGCAGCTCATTACTCAGAAGAGGCTTAAATGGTGTAATTACATGACACCGCATTGGTTTTCATTCCATCACTATCTTCATTCACTGTGTATTGACCCTTCTCACTATTCTGGAGCTTTCCATTTTCCCCTTAGTGTGTTCATAATGACAAGCTGTAAAGATGCAACAGATGTGTGAACAAAGCAAATAAAGTGCTGGTAACAAATTGAATCCCTGCTATTATCCCTCTTTAGAGTAACTAAGACAATGCACAAATCTAACAAAAGTACCAGACAGCCATGGCTTGAAGTAAACGCTGCATAATTTGAGATGTAAAACTGGAAGGAAGAAGTTTTTGCCACACAGAAAATCTGCACGTGAATTTGGAATGGTTTAATTTTATTCTGATTACTTAATTAAAGTAGAGCAGCACAGTGCACAGCGCAGTGTGTAAAGCGCTTTGAGTGCTCAGATGAGTAGAAAAGCGCTATATAAGAACCAGTCCATTTACCAATTTTTCTTAGAACGAGGCTAGTTGGTAAATTACTACTTGCAAAGAGGGGAGGTTTCATACGGTGACCAGCATACACAAGCGGAATCCTTACATCAAGCAACAATGCTCACGTGGCCGCATGGATACTGTTTGAAGACAGGCTTGAAAAGCTGAAACCTTTTATTTGTGTAATGATTACAGAAACTCTATACAGTGGGGCAAAAAAGTATTTAGTCAGCCACCGATTGTGCAAGTTCCCCCACCTAAAATGATGACAGAGGTCAGTAATTTGCACCAGAGGTA